TAAAAAGATGGAATTATTTTTTTTAGTGCAAGCTGTTATGTACAATTCATCCAAGTAAGGGAATGTAGAAGTTGACATGTTACATATTTTCCGTATTAGTCGATTAAACTTTTCTTTATCTAGTTCTCTTGTGTTCCCGGTCCATGCTGTTATACAAAAATTGATCATACTTTCTATGGTTGAATGATAAAATTTGGACATCAATGTTTTATCAACTTTAAAATACTTTAGCTTCCTTAGAAAAAAATAGTCTTTTGTTCACTTTGTTATGCAGGAGAGAAGTGTGGACACGCCAGTTGAGTTGGTTGTCTAGGGGTAGTTTCTTTTTTCTAAAATCAACAAGTTCTTTGTGGGCTTTTTCACATTTAACAGCAGCTTATGACTTTCACACCATTCCGAAAGTTAAGTACAAACATCCGATAAACGGTTTCGTTATGGTCAGCATGAACTAGCCCAATTATGGTGGAATTATCTGCAAAATCACCCGCGCAAAATTCAAAATTTCCTACTAACTGAAAAAGTTAAATGTGTCCCGCGCGCTCATATGACCTTATGCAGTTGCGAACGGCGTAAAACACCCACAAGAACAAACAAATCCTAGTCTGCTCGTTGCTTCCTTTGAATTAGACAGTTCTCTCTGTCATTTTGGCCGTTTCCAGTTTCAAAGACCATGAGGACAGAAACCAAATGTTCTAACTGCTCTATCGAAATCGCAAGATTATTCAGTCTTAATGCGCCAGATATTCAACGAATTGCATTCGAAAAAGCTTGACAAAGTGTTAGTTTTAGTTTTAGTAGAGGTTTTACAGCGCTCGCAACTGCGTAAGGTCATATGAGCACCAGAAGATTAGAGCTGTTACAAGAGAGTAACAAACATAAAAAAGAAGGAGGGGAGATAAGGACGATATAATATGTTTGATAGGAAAGAAGAAGCAAACCACACCAGAGCACCAGCCAACCACCCACTACGCCAGTAGGAAATGGACGGCAAAGTGGACGAAAAAACAACAAGGCCTACCTGGACCCGCCAACCACCCACTGACACAGTGTGAAACTCAAAATGTTTAAAGTCAAATTTCTCCAAACTATACAGATCTACTGATCAGAGAGAACTTTATAATTGGTCACTTTTATTGGTTTCATTGGTTCAGACAGTGTCATATTATCTCAAGGGTCAGAGCATCTCTGCAGGTTGGAAAAAAAATGAAAACACATTCTCCACACCTACATCTAACGTAACAGAAAAAATGTAGAAAGAGAAGAAAACTGCAAGAAACAAGCCTTAGTTTAAGTTCTGTGAAATTTGAATCAAAGAGACAGATATTCAGAGTGGGTGGTAGGCGGGTGCTCTAGTGTGGTTTGCTTCTTCTTTCCTATCAAACACCCATCGTCCTTATCTCCCCTTCTTCTTTTTTATATTTGTTACTCTCTTGTAACACCTCTAATCTTCTGGCGCTCAAATGACCTTATGCAGTTGCGAGTGCTGCAAAACCCTCTACTAAAACTAAACTAAAAAAGATATTGAGAGAGAGAGATAATCTTTTGGTCGGAACACAAAGCACAGTTCATAATATGTTACTGTTGTATTGGAAAGCGCCCAGAGCCTGTGTACTTTAACCTTGGCTGAGTGCTATAATATAAATGCCATATATCATCATTATCACTATTATTATTATTATTATTATTATTATTATTATTATTA